CCACATGACCTCACTCATTTGTGGATAATAAAGAGCATTATAAACTGATGAACCAAAAGATAGATATAGAGACAGTAAAGCAACAAGGAGATTGTCAAATTACAGCGGGGAGGGGAGGAGGATCTGGGGGAGATAATAGATCAACCGAAGGACTTGTATACATGCATATAAGTACAACCAATGGACATAAAACTATGGGGAGGGAGGGGATATGGGGGAGGGAGGGAAGGGGGCAAAAAAAATCATTAAAATATGTAAAAAAAATAAATAAATAAATTAGGCCATATTTATAAAATAAATATATATATATATATGTTTTTTGGATAAATGATCTTTATAACATACTATTTTTTCTCTAGTAATGATGCCACAAATGCTACAGGATTCCTTTATTCTTTGTGAATAGAATACACTGTGATTTTATTTATTTTTAAAGGATGTTTCTATTGATTCTTTAGAGAGAGGAAGGGAGAGGAAGAAAAAGAAACATCAGTGTGAGAGAGAAACTTTGATCAGCTGCCTCCTATGCATCCCCTTATGGAGTACATGGGATGATACTCAACCACCTGAGCCACACTGAGCAGGGCTAGAATAAGTTGTGCTTTTAAGTAAAAGCACATTTTGAACAAAGTAAAAGCATGCTGAGAATTAGAGCAGTGTGTTTTGAATATAGTTGGAGATGAGGCACCTGATGTTCTTAGAAAACAGGAAGTTGTTGAAAAAACAACTTTTTGGGGAATGTGGAAGGTTAGCTAGATAAAGAATTCAAGCAAAATTGAAGTTCAAAGTATAATCTCTGGTTGACATTCTGCCAAATTTCTCACATGTGAAGACCCATGTTTAACCTGAAGCACCTCCTGAAGAGTCTACTGAAAGACCTGAAACATGTCTGTTGATTATGATTCTGAGGGTTGTTTGGTTTTTTTTTGTTTGTTTTTTTGTTTTATTTTTTCCTGTTGGCTGAGAGGCAAAGGCATTTATTATTATTTATTAACTCTCTTTGGCCATATTCGAACTTTGGATGACATGGTAGCATCATCAAATCTCACATAATGACACCATTAAATATGGGGCATGGCTTTGGTACAAAATTCTGGCATAGCTGCTGTATATTTTGATTTTATAGATGCCCTTAAGGGCCTGTGTGAGAATTTTATAGCACAAGTCAGTTTTGGACAGCAGTGCCCAATGGCTAAGGAATAGAGTGTGTTCAAAGATTTCTCAGCCCAGTCAGAATATTGGCCTTTCTCAAATTGTGTTTTATCATGCAATAGTATTCAGCCCCAGGGAAGACCCATTTCTACTTTTAACTATGGAGCACCTGCCACTGGAAAATGAGGTACTTTCTGGAGGCATCATGGACACTTTCCTTTGAAGATAATCATCTCCATGTGTTTCACAGTGATCCTCACACTAATCAATAGTGGCCTCCCTTCAAAGACTCTAGTAGTGGTGTTGTAAAATTTAAGGCCCATAACACATATTCATGAAAAGCCCATTAAGTATTGTTGTTGCTCTGACTTATTCCTAGAGAAATTCACCCCTGTTATAAATCAGAAAGCTCAAAGAATAGATTTGTATTCTCCTCACTGTGATTTTCTGACTAATATTCATCCCAGGTAGCTTCTTGTATAAGGGTGATTTGACTTTCAAACTTAATTTAAGAATTTTTGAAATTTAATTAGGCACTTAATAGAGAGAGTTGCTTTAATGTCCTCCATTTGAGAATGCTTATAACCATGACTTTTCTTTGTGTCTTTATTAATTATTATTATTGCTATTCTAATCGAGGGTTAATGACACATGCCAAGCATTTGGCAAAGTACTTAAGATACAAACAAGACAAACACAGTTCTACCGTGTTTCCCGGAAAATAAGACATTCTCTGAAAATAAGACCTAGCGCATGGAAAAATAAGACATCCCCTGAAAATAAGACCTAGCGCATCTTTGGGAGCAAAAATAAATATAAGACATTGTCTTATTTTCGGGGAAATAAGGTAGTTCTTAGTCTCATAAAACACGGAAAAGATGCAGGTTTCTTACACATGGAACAAGCAGATGCATATTTCTATTTTGTCTTAAAATCTATTAACTAGAGCTCCATATACACGTATGGTATATTTTTGCATGTTTATGTGTTCAGAAGCTATTTATACCATATTGCATAGCTCTGGTTTCCTTTAAGTCTATGATAATTCTACATTTTTTTATGTATACAGACACATCTACAGACACTACCAAAGAACCACTGGTCAAATGAGTTATCACTGTAACTACTCACTAGCAGGTAGTAATAACAGAAGTTACAGAACATATAGTGAATTACAGATTCTTTCTACATTTAGCATTTCACAACAAATTATGATGACAAGCATCTATTATAATTCAGATTTTTCAGGGTAACCAAGTGTTGGAGAATACAAGGCACTTGTCCCAGGTCACTCTTGTATGATCAAGATTCCAAATGGATTACTTTGGCTAGAGAGTTTCTGCTTGAATCCAATAGGAGACACAAATGCCCCATAAGCATCAACTAGTAAACATTTATATATTTTCCAGCTTTATGAAGCATATTACCACATTAAAAATGCAAAGCACTGGAGTAAATATGGGTGTTGTTAATGTGAGAAACACACTTTCTTCTACAATACTTTATTCTTCAAGCATGAGGGGAAACTCACTGCTTCTCTGATATCATTAATCGATTTCTTTTTCTTGTTCAAAACACTGGTTCACAGATGTTAACTGCCATGAATATGTACAGCAGAAAGTGTGAACCCCAACCTATAGTAGTGACTGCAAAACTCACTGAGTTACACAGTCAGGCATCTGTTTATGGCTCCCTCCCTTTTTGTCACAGTAGTCCCCCTATCTGTGGGGACGTGTTCCAAGACCCCCAGCGGATGCCTGAAACTACAGACATACTGAACCCTATAGATTCTGGGGTTTTTTTTTTTCCTGTACATATATATCTTTTCACTTAAAGGAAGCACTTCCGGCTTCTCTTGGGCATGTCTGAGTTACTATCTTGACTACATTCTGGAGTAAAGGAAGGGGGACTGAACACAAGACAAGCACCATGATACCTTGACAGCCCATCTGCTAACCAAGATGGCAACTAAGTGACTCACAGGTGGGAAAGCATCTCCAGTGAGGAGACATCGAACAAAGGGGGGATTCACATCCTGGGCAGGGAGGAGCAGAACAGCATGAGGTTGCATTCTGCTGAGAACATCATGCAGTTTAAAACTTATGGATAGTTTATGTCTGGAACTCTGCACTTAGTTTTCAGGCACAGTTGAATGCAGGAAACTAAAACGACAGAAAATGAAGCCATAGATAAGGGGTCACTGCTTTTTTTTTCATCCTACAATGGAGGAGTTGGACTCTCACACCTAAAAGGCATTCCACAGACTCAGTCTACTTGGTTTACTTGTCTAAGTTCTGTCCAAGGCCTTTTAATGGAAAAGGTCTAGCCATGGACTGTGTTTGCCCGCACCTTATTTCTCTGTTCCCAAAGCATAGTCGAGTGCCTCTCAGACTAGCCTGGCGAAGTTGGTCACATTCAACATCAATTTCTACTCTTAGTTATCTTTAGCAGATGTAATTTTTTTAAAATGTCTTTTGTTAATCCTCATCCATGGATATTTTTTCCATTTATTTTTAGAGTAGGAGGCATGGAAGGAGGGAGGAGGGAGGAAGGGAGGAAGGAAAGGAGGGAGAAAGAGGGGAGGGAGGGAGGAAAGGGGGGAGTGAGGGGGCAGGGAGGGAAGGAAGGAGTGGGGAGGGAGGAAGAAACATTGATGTGAGAAAGATAAATCTATTGGTTGACTCCCACATGCATCCCAACTGGGGCCTAGGGCCCAAACCTGCAACCCAGATATGTCCCTTGACTGGGCATCAAACCTGCAACCCTTTGGTATACAGGCCAATGCTTTAACCACTGATCCACAGCAGCCAGGGCACCACATATAAATTTTTAAAGGACCTATTATATGTCATTACTCTTTTATATTCTTTATATAAATTATTACATCAGTTCTTACATAAACACTGTTATGTAATTATTATTGTTATTAATAATACCCCCTCCCATTTTTATAGACAAAAAAACTAAGGTTGCTTAGGAGATGTTAACCATCTTGATGTGAATCAGTCAGTGAGGCCAAATTAGAATTCAGACCTGTGTCTGTTGTGTTCTGAGACTTGTGTGTGTGTTTTTTCATGACCTTATGCTGCCTCCTTGTTCAGAAAACATATGTTGAGAAATCGTTTAGGACTGTATGCTGTTGGGCTCCTTCTGCAGAAAGATTATGGAAGAATAATGACAGAGAAACATAAAGACATTAAAGGGACATATTCTTTTCTCTATGATAAAATAATAAAAGAACCAACTGTTCTAAATAAATAACTCTACCAGCCCATAGGAGAAAGCTCTCTAACAGGTCATATAAGATCACTCAGGCAGGACAGGGCAATTCAGGTGATAAATGGAAGGCTGATTGTGGCTTGTATGAAAGCACTTGCAAAGTACTATTCTATGTACAGAAAGCTCAGAAATGATGGATCAAAGCCAAAATTGATTGGAGATTAGATTTAAGGGCATATAGAAAGGGGAGAGAAACCAGATGAATGGAAGAGGAATGTTTATGTGATGCTAAAATAAGAGTCCTGGGCCTTCCCCATCCTCCCAAAAAACACAACATTCTGGAGCATGGGAACTGCCTGTCAAACACTCACAGGTGATTTTGTACATGTAGGTCATGGACCACACACTGGGAAAATACTGATTTGGTCAAGTCTCTTTATTTTACAAATCAGCACGAGGTTCTAAGGTAAATGGTTGTTCAAAGTTTGCTGTACTCTCTTTTCATTAGAGTTTTGGCTAAATCGGTCTCCTACAGGCCCAGTTCTGTCCTCTTTGATACTTGGATTTAATTTTTTCAGTCCCAGCCATGGACCAGCTAACAGCATGTATCCTTGCTCTTTCTCTTCCAGAATCACAACCACAGCTGCCTGCATGATGGACCTAAGGCGGTACCCACTGGATGAACAAAACTGCACCTTGGAAATTGAAAGCTGTAAGTTTTTCTGAGAATCCAGTTAGACTGAACTCTGCTTAGGGGTTCTCCAGACCACAGGCCTGCAGAGGTTCTGCTAGCACACTAAATGTGATGGAGGGAGCTACTCCTAGTACCTGCCCTCCTGCTGCTGCAATCCTCTCAGTCTTGTCCCTGATCCCTGGGAGAGGTGTGAAGGGGAGAAATAATCTAGCAAGAAAAGGAAGATGCTAAGAGCCTAGAAGAAAACCAAGGGCTATTCTAGTCATTTAAAACACAGCATCTGGAACAAATAGCTACACCAGGCTTGGGACAGTAGGTGAAGGTGGCAGGCGGACTCAAGGTATCTGAATAATTTTTGTCTCTCATAAGCATTATCACTTTTCAATTACAAAATAAATGTGGCCTTCTGGAATAGCCGAAACTTTCATAGAATGTGGATTAGTGAGATGTTGTTGCTTTTCTCCCAGGGGCTGTTTTCAGTGTCGAAATTTATCTTACATTCTTGCTGAAGGCCATCTGATGAGCAAGATGAGTGTATGTGTGGTTCTTCTTTCCTGCGCTGACCTGCTTTGCAGTATTGTTGCATTTCTAGGCCGTAGTGTGTGTCCTTGAGGATTCAGTCACCTGCCCTGTTGAGCAGAATGTTGATGTCACAGCCCAGCTCCAATGCAGAGGTCACTCAGGGAGGTCGTTTGCAGTGGAATAGGATTTTGGATCTCTTTTCTCTGTCGGTTCTTTGTACAGTGTTCATGCCTCATCCCACCAAACTATTGGAAGCTGACAATTTTCTATCCAGCATTCTAGATAATGAGCAAGCAGCCTGCTATGTGGGTACTCTCAGTCTTCGTCAGGAGCTCTTGTGATGACAGGCAGCGTGACTCTCCATCACTGCTCTGAGCAGAAATCCAGTATTTAGGACATAGCGTGGGCATTTTTGCCCATCACAAAAAATAACTTCCAGGGATTATTCCATTTACACACATTTTTTTAAGAACCCAATTTCATACTTGTATTTCCAAATCATCATGCTTTTCACATTAGATCTTTGCCATGTAATAAAAATTGATCTGTAGGATTTTTATGATTATTTTTATGTAAATATCTTTGGGATTAACTTCGCATTTTTATAACCAATAACACAGTTGAGAGTATAGAATATTGTCTTTCAAAGTCCAAAACCTAGTTGTTTCATATTGTTGATGTTAGGATATTTTGCCAAAAAAAAAAAATGTGGCTTTGTACCATTCATGAATTTTTACAGTAAGAGAATTGTTCCTGGTAGAATTTGTCTGGAATTTTAATAATCATTATTGTACATGTCATTTGAACCTTCTGCAGCCTTCTTACTTGAAAGAACTAATGCCTTAAAGACACAGGCAACACCCAGTGTTGCATGGAATTAAATTATAATTGTGACCTGAATATTGAAAAATTAATAATTCCTTAGACTTCTAGAAAGTTTAAATTTTATAAAGTGGATTTTACATATCTCATTGCAATTCATAGTTACCCTATTAAATGAGGTAGAATAGATTTTTTCCAGCTTTAATGAGATATGATTGACAAACAATATTGTGTATGTACCATATGATGATTTGATATATGTAAGTTTTGTGAAATGATTATCACAGTAAGGTTAGTTAACACATCTATCACCTTACATGGTTACCTTGTTTTGATGTATGTGTGTGTGTCTGTTGGAAACTTTTAAGATTTGCTCTTAGTAACTTTCAAGTATACAGTACAGTATTGTGAACTATAGTCACCATATCACTATACTGTAGATTAGATAGCCACATATTATTCATTTTATAACTGAAAGTTGGTGCCCTTTAACCTCCTTCACCCATCTGACCCAGCCCCCACACGTGGCAACCATCAGTTTACACTGTTACTATCAGGTCAGTTTTCTTTTTTAGATTTCATTTAAGTGATAACAAATGGTATTAGACTTTTTCTGCATGACTTATTTCATTTAGCTTAATAACCTCAAGTTATCCATGTTATTACAAATGGCAGGATTTCCTTTGTTTTATGTCAAAATAATATTCCACTTAATATATCTATAAAAAAATAAAAGTGTAATATGCTAATTAGATTGGACAGCCAAATGACCCTCCAGATGAAGCTGCAGCTGTGAGGGCTGAGCCCCTTGCACCAATTTCATGCATCAGGCTTTTAGTGATTATAAAGATATATTCATTCATCAATAGACAATTAGGTTGTTTCCATGCCTTGACTATCCTATATAATAAAAGCCTAATATGCAAATTGACTGACAAGTGGAACAACTGGTTGCTATGATGCGCACTGTCCATAGGGGGTCAGATGCTCAAACAGGGAGCTGCCACCAGCCTGCAGGCCCCAAGCCAGCCAAGGTGGGTACCAGCAGGGGTGCCCCGAATGCCCTGCTGGTCACCCCACAGATCAGCCCTGATCACTGGCCAAGTCTAGGGACCCTACCCACGCACAGATTTTGTGCACCGTGCCTCTAGTTGTAAATAATGCTGTGGTGAACACAGGGGTACAGATATCTCTTTGAGAATAATTTTATTTCCTTCACATATGTACCCAGAAATAAGATTGCTGGGTCATATAGTAATTCTATTTTTTTCCCTTCAATAATATTCCATAAGTCTCATTTATTTTTTTTAGTTTATCTTTATTGTTGAAAGTATTACAGATGTCCCCATTTTTTCCTCATTGATATCCCCCCACACACACACCCTGCTGCACTCAACCCCTCCAGGCCTTCACCACACTATTGTCTGTATTCATTGCTTATGCATATATGCATATCAGTTCTTTGGTTACTCTCCCCTCTCACCTACCCACCCACCCTCACCTTCCCTCTGAGACTCCTCAGTCTGTTCCATGCTTCTGTCTCTAGATGTATTTTGTTGATCAGTTTATTTTGTTCATTAGATTCCATATATTAGTGAGATCATGTGATACTTGTCTTTCTCTGACTGGCTTATTTAACTTAGCATAATACTCTCTAGGTCCCTTCATGTAGTTCTATTTTTAATTTTGAGAATCCTTCATAATAACTGTACCAATTTACATTCCTACCAACATTGCAAAATATTCCTTTTTTTCCACACTCTTACCAATATTTGTTACCTCCTGTTTTTTGTTTTTTTTTTATGATAGCCATTCCTACAAGTGTGAGTGATATCTCATCATGGTTTATGTTTGCATTTCCATGATGAGTAGTGATGTTGAGCACCTTTTTCTGTACTTGTTGGCCATTTGTATGTCTCCTTTGGAAAAACACTCGTCAGTTTATCTGCCTATTTTAAATTGGGGTTTTTTTGTGTGTTTTGTTTTGTTTGTTTTTTTGTATTTGTTTTTTTTTGTTTGCTTGTTTGTTTTTTGCTATTGGGTTATATGAGTTCATTATATATTTGAATATTTGCTGTTTCTGAGGTACATTTTTTGCAAATATGTTTCTGCTATTTCATATGTTGATTCTTCATTCTGTTAATGGCTTCTTTTGCCTTATGGAAACTTTTGAGTCTGATATACCCCTGCTTGTTTATTTTGCTTACTCGTGTTTTGGGTGTTACATCCAAAATATCATTGCCAAGACCAATGTTTTCTTCAGGAGTTTTACAGTTTCAGATTTTACATTGGAATCTTTAATTCCTTTAAAGTCCATTTTTTGAGTGGTTTAAGATAGGTTTCTAATATAATTATTTTGCATGCAGATATCCAGTTTTCCCAGTACCATTTATTGAGAAGACTAACTTTTCTCCATTGACTATTCTTGGCTCCCTTTTCAAATATTAGTTGGCCATGTATGCGAGGGTTTATTTCTGAGCTCTCAGTTCTGTTTCATTGGTTTATATGTCTGAATTTTTGAGAATTTTCTTTTTGTTGCTTAACATATGGCTGATTCTAGAAAATGTTTCATGTGTGCTTGAGAAGAATGTTTATTCTATTGCTGTGGGATAGAATGTTCTGTATATGTCTGTTAGATCTGTTTGCTCTATGGCAGTGATTTTTATTTTTTCTCTCCGTTTTTTTATTAAGGTTTTATATGTGTACACATCTTACCATTGAATAGCAGTGATTTTTAACAAGTGTGCCAGGGCTGGGCACTATTTAGTCAGGGTATTAACTTCTTTCCCTTAGATTATAAAATAAAAGAATGACAACAACTAATATAACAATAGCAATTTGGTGTGAATTGCTCAAAATTATAACTTTATTTTTGTCAGATCAGCAAAAAATAATATTTTTTGGTGTACCACAGAATTTTAGTAATTAGCTTATGTGTGCCAGGAGATGAAAAGGGTTGAAAATCTCTGGCCTATAGTGGTGTTCAAATCTGCTATTTCCTATTGATTCTCTGTCCGAATGATTTATCAATTGTTGGTAGTGGAGTATTAAAGTTCCTAACTATTATTGTATTGCTGTTTATTTCTCCTTCTAGTTCTGTTAGTATTTGCTTTATACATTTAGGTGTTCCAGTATGGGTTCATAAATATTTATGATTGTTGAAATCTTGATGAATTTACCCCTCTATTACTATAAATTACCTATTTTGTCTCCTATAAGCATTTATAGCTTAAAGTCTATAGGGTAGATATTAATATTCCTGTCTTTATAGGGAAACAGACACAAAAGGTGAAGTGGATATGTCTAAAAACATGAAACCACTGAGTAGCACAGTACTCTGAGCTAATACGGGGATTGATAGCTAATTTATCTTAGTAAAGCCACTGATTTCGGAGAGATCAGATTAACAGGAAGATCGCTGTTCTAAAAAATCAGGAAAATAGACTGTATTTATAAAAAATTGGGCTTATTCATATTTAAACAGCAAATCAGTGTTGTGGAGAATTAGATATGGTATATTAATAATAGATTAATAATTAGTATTAATATTATATTAATAATATATGTGATATCCAGGCCCTGTTATTATAAGCAGGTAGTAAACTAATCATATGGAAATTAGGATCTGATCCTTTAAACAACCAGCTCTGAGGTTGATCCCTGATATTCTACCT